TTATTTATTTATTTATTTTTTTCAATCATGTTGGGGAGAGGTCTAAGAAATCAACGGCCTGCGGGCCCATTTGGCGAATAAAACACCCCGCGATTACAGTTTACAAAATTTCTATATTAATTTGGCTTCACAACTGATTACATGCCTTTTCAATAATACAAACGTCACCAGCACCAGCACCCGCTTGTCTTTTGGTCACCACCAGGAACAAGTGGACCCAGGTCAGTTCTAATTTGAAAGCGATGAGCGATTAACAGACTTCTGCTCAAATCTGATTGGCTGACCATTGACAAAAAGCACCCTACGTATGCTAGACAAATTGGAAAGACATTGGAACTGAATTTCGCAAAAACCATTACCCTCACGTTTCCTAACAGCCTAGATTTTAAACGTAACTGCCAAAATATATATTTATTTGGGATTAACTCAGGGTGTAACTGATAACAGGCGTATATCTGTTTTAGTGCAGTAGGATAAAGACCTAACTAAGCTAAGAATAGGAGACCTCGATAACAAAGCAAAAATTTTCATTTTTTTCATGGCTTTAAACCTCAAACAGGCAGCGAATTAATGGTAACTACTTTAAGTAGTTTGAAAGCTCAGAGCTTCTCGTGCCTTTCTCCATAAGGTGTGTAGTGTTCAGCTTTCGTTTTATCCTTTGAATGACAAAGTAAAGACCGGAAAAAAGTCGTGAGAATGAAGGAATCGATAACCAAGGAATGGCTGCATGAGCATCGCTTATTTCGGTTATAAGAGATGTATGAAGATCAGAAGGGAGAAACTATATGCTGAACACGGCCTTTCGGGGTGACGTTTTTATCTTTCTTATCACAAATAGCATAACTGCTGGAATAGGTGCATCCTTACTCTAAAGGAATATAAACATCTTATGATTGTTGTTAGTACAAAATAAAGTAGCATGGTAAAGGGAACAATAAGGAGTCAATTGAGACACTAAACATTGAGCATTTGAAGTTAGCATGGACTGATTTTATAATAGTTTAAAACAAGAGTAAAGCAATTTAGGTGCTTATAATTGCTGAACTGAAAAAGCTTCTCGACCTTGTTTAGATCAAATAAACTTGCAAGAGAATGTCTTCTGTGGTTTATATACGGTACTAAAAACACGAAATTCTTTTCAATACGCGCAAACAAAAAGGGCTCCACTCTCCATTAATTGTACGTTATGAATGACGAATATGAGATTAATTGCACGATCTGAGGAAGTATGGACTCGTGTCTTAGTAAATATGAAAGGTAACGAAACTTCTATTGTCACAATGTCAACAAACATACTCTATATTCCGATAATATCCCTAGGATTTTACATGTATTTGTTCAAAACGTTTTTTGCAGCGTGCGTACCTCCAGAGATGGCGAAAGGTGATGCAGGAAGAGGCATGAAGCTAAATTTCTTAGGGGGGCGGGGAAGGGGGCGAGGCGTTTCAAAAGGGTTCGGGTTCATATTTTGAAGTGATGTGGTGTCTAACTGAACCATATTTTAAAAGCATAAAACGAGTTGCCTGATAATCGAACAACATATATGAACAACAATAGAGGACATTGGAAGAAGGGTATCTTTCTTTCGGAGAGCTAAATTTAAATGTAAGTCCCCTAGGTGTATTCACGATTTGTAGGGCTAATTATCGAAGTAAAATGGTATATCGATTGACAAACGTAAGTCGAATCGCTCTGGACAAGTTTATTCTATATATATACTGCGAAATGACAATATCGATAGGTGAGAACACCTATGGCACACAAATTGCAAAAAAAAACAAAATAATCGTTTCCAGAAACACAACTTCGTAACTGTATAGTTAATCAAAATGAACTTGCTACACTGTATTAAAGCCGTTTCTTTTTTAAAATTGTTCATTCTCCGTTAGCGGCTAAAGTCATGACTGATCTTTTAAAGCGCAAAATTACCTGATGTAAAAAATTACATCTTGTCGGTTGGTAGCTTTAACAAATGGATTCCAAGAACCAAAGCTATCAGATTTACCAGTGGAAATCTCTTCGGCTAAAAGACCGTACAATTTCTGTATCAAGCCCTTGGGAAGTCAAATCATTATTGTTCATAGGCTCGTTGGACTTGTTTTCGAGTGGGGAGGGAGAGGAGCTAAGGTTATTATCGGAAGACATTTGCTTATAATGGCTTGTTCACTTTTTTGATATATATTGTTGGTCAGCCGCCCATCATTCCAAGCGCATGCGCGCTCTTCGGTTG